TGTTCAGGGTCGGGATCTATTATCAGACACAGCTTGGACCCTGAAGCCTAGTTGCCTGGGTTCAAATCCTAGCTTCATCACTTCCTAGCTGTGGGACCTTGGACAAGTGACTGAACCTCTCTGTTTCTCAGTTATTTCAACAGGAAAATGGGGATAATTTAAGGATCTTTGCAGACAGGAAGCCCAATCCTCTGTTCCTAAACCAGGACGGACTGCCAGGTGATTAGTAGGGAGGACAGGGGATTAAAATAGACCATCAGAGGAGGTTATAACAGGAAGTAGAATCCTCATTTACAAGAGACTCCAGGGGGACCAAACACAATTACTAAGGTTGGAACTAGGTCAGGACTCTTGGAAAGAGAACTGGCCCCGAGGGGTGTCCTGGGGGGTCAGTCATGACTGGGAACCACGAGGGCTTCAAGGAGACGGTGACCTCGGCTAGGCTCGCGGCCTTTCTAGGTCAGAGACTCGACTGTCTCCGTGGCAGGTGTCCTACGTCTGTCCTGAACCAGGACAAGAGGGTGATGGGCGAATAAATCAGGCCAGATGAGAGACACGGAGGAGGGTGGCCGGTGGGTGGCGTGGTCTTGGGGAGCCCCGCTCAGGGCCCCCGATGGGCACCTGCCCTTCGTGTGCCTGGCGCGCCTCTTGTTGATTCCTCAGAGCTCTTTACTTTTTAAGTCTTGGCGGGATGATCCCTATCTTTACGGCTTCTCCCCACCCCGGCCAGCCCCCAGCTTTGACCCCGTCTCACACTTGTCCTGGAAACAGGCGGAGGGAGAAGGATCAGGCCTGAGGGTGCAGGACCCACGGAGAGCAAGGTGCTCTCACGGTCCTTGGAGGGGAGGCCCAGGGGGCGGGAGAGGAGGTGGCCAAGGAGCCAAAGGCGTGGGCAGAGGGGGCCGAGAGCTGGACATGAACAGGAGAAACAGGACAATGGCTTCACTGTTCCCAGAGAGGCCGGGAAGTTCCATGTGAGCTTCTGTCTCTGCCCCGTTGCTGCCTCCCTCTGTCCCCCACTCCCTCCCCCAGCGCCCACAACTCTGCCTGGATTCCAGTTGACAGCCATGGGCCTGGAGCAGGCGGGCTGTGCTGTGCCATGGACACAGTGTCCCCTGAAAGGCTCAGGGGGTTAGAGGCTTGGGCCCGTGAGATGGCATTGGGAGGTGGCATGGGCCTTTAAAAGGTGGGGCCTTATGGGCAGTCCCTGGGCCAACCGTGGGCATGCTCTCAAAGGCCTGGGATCCCAGGTGCCCTTGCTCTCTGCTTCTGGCTGCAGGAATGACCACTTGCTCCCACACACCCGTCACTGCCACCTCCCCACCCCATCAGTTCCCCACAGACACAGGTGCCACCTGCTCCAGCCTCCTAAACTGGGAGCTCAATAAACCTTTCCCCTTCATAAAGTCAGCTGCCACGGGCACTTTGTTGTAGTAACAGAAAACGGACTGACACAGCATCGGCCAACCGCACGCAGCTGGGGAGAACACTGGAAAAAGACACTGGCTCCCAGGGGGGAGGGCAGGAAGGGCCGAGGAAGGGGTGGGGAGCTGGCGGTACTCACAGAGGAAGTCGGAGAGCCACTCGGGCTGGTTGTAGTGAACGATAGCGACGCACAGGGTGTTGAGGGCGACCAGACTGAGCACAGTCCAGTAGAAGGCCTGAGTTTTGACCATGCGGCGGATGTAGAAGCGCATCCTCCGTTCCTTCTTGTGGAAGAAGGTCGAGTTCTCTAGCTTGGCACTTTTGATGCTGGCTCGGGCGAAGGGGGACCCTGCCGGGGAGAGAAGGCAGGGGGTCAGGCAGGCGTTTCTGGGGAGGGGCGTGGCCAGCGTGAGTCCTCCGGGAACCACCCTGACCCCGGGCTCAGCTTAGCGGAGAAAGCCACGCCCCTGACACGGTGGCACTGGAGGCCACCAGCGGGGGACAGGCTGACAACAGGCAGGCCCAGGGCTCTCTCCAACAAGAGCCTGTGGCCTCTCGGGGCTGTGTCTGATGCCTGTGGCCGTCCAGAGCCCCTGCCCGGGACCCCGTGCCAGCTTGGAAGGCCTCCAGCTGAGGGGGAGGGTCCCCATCGTCCTGGGACCTTTCACTTCAGAAGCGGTCACCGGGGACGAGCCGGGTGCGACTTCCACCTGCACACGTGTGTGCTCTGGAGCGTCCACTGAGGACCTATCCTGCCCCCGGGACACCCTAGTGTCGGGGAGTGACCAGAAGACCCACAGCAAGGCGCGGTGAGTGGCCGGGCGACTGGGCTGCTGGCCTGAGTCACCTCTGTGGCTGAGGTAGTGGAAAGAGCTGGTGCAAAAGTCCTGGGGCAGCACGTGCCTGCCTGACGGGTTTGGTGTCACTGGAAGGAGTGGCTGAGGGAGGAGGTGAGCCAGGGAGGTGAGGGGCCTGGCAAGGCCTGGGGAACCCAGCCACCTTCGAAGCCTTTTTTAAAGTCGTAGTTCTGAGACGGACTCTCTCTCCTTTGCCCAGGCTGGCCTCGGGCTTGAGATCCTCCTGCCTCAGCCTCCCGAGCACGGGACACTACGGGTGTGTGCCACTCAGGGCTCTCGTGGCGTTCTGGACCGTCCCTGCGGAGGGCTGAGCGGGGTGCTGTGCGTCCCCCAGGGATTCCGGAGTTGGACACTTGGTCCCCAGGATGGCCATGTTTTAGCTGGAGGGACCTTTAAGAGGCGGGGCCTTGTGGGAGGACCTCAGAGGGACTGGACCTGGCTCCCATACGGGCCTGAGGCTTCCATTCCTCCCTGGTTTCCTTCTCCCATGATCCTTCCCTCCCGTCCACACTCCCAACAGGATGCCACCGGCCACAGAAGGAGGCAGCCCAGGGGCCACTCACTGGAGCTGGCACCATGTGGTGTATTTGCAGCTTCCGAAACCTGAACTAAATAAACCTCTTTAAAAAAAATAAGTTCCCAGCCTCAGGGAATTCATTATAGTAACGGAAAACGAACCCATGCGACCTCCCTGTCTCATGGTTTGAATGGTGTCTTCCCAGAACTCTGTGAGATCCCAGCCCCGGGATGTTGGACTCATGTGCTTACAAGAGGTCAGCAAGACCACGGGGGACACAGGGAGAAGGTGCCCGGGGGGCTCAGGAGGCACAACTCTGTCCACACCCCCATCTCAGACGCGCAGCCTCCAGAGCCATGAGACGATACATTTCTGTTGCTTAAGCCACTGAGTCTGTGGCAGTTGGTTAGAGTGGCCCCAGGGGATGGCTCAAATTTGAGGTTTCATCCTCAAATGAAACCTAGTCTACTTTAGTTTTTATTCTTCTTATTTTCTTGAGACAGAGACTGGTCTCCAACTCCTAAACTCAAGAGATCCTCCTGCCTCAGCCTCCCGAGTTCTGGGTCTATAGTATGTGCCCTGGCACCTGGCTTTGAACCCTAGTTTAAAACAATTCCTGCAAGAAGCTTTCTTTGGTTTTCTGCCAAATTCTTCCCTGCCCTATACATCCACGAGATTTCTTGTCACATTTCTTACAATTATTTCTGCTCTGAGGTAACCTTTCCCCCCTGATTTCAAAAATAATACAGGTGACTAATTCACACACCCCAGAAAATGTCATGTAGGAAGTGACAAACCCCTACAATCCCCCGATTTCTATACCTTTAACATTTCCGAATGTTGTTTTTTTAAAAACGGGATCATATTGTACCTAGTGTTGTGCAACTTGATGTATCTCAAAATACATCTTTCTGTGCTGGCAGCAACTGTGCTTTTTCCTAACTGTCGAATATTCCACTGAATGGATCTACCATGATTTCTTTAACCACTCCCCCACTGCTGAGCATGGTGGGCTGTTTCTGTGTTTTTCCTTTTCCTTCCTTCCTTTCTTCCTTCCACGCTAGGCACTGAACCCTGGGCCTTGCCCATGCTAGACCAGTGCTCTACCACTGAGCTACCTCCCAAGCTTTGGTTTCTACTTTTTGATCATCAGAAACAATGATATTGAGAAGAAGCTGGGACATGATCTTTGGCACGTGTGAAGAAACGGTCTTGAAGTATAGATGGAAGGTCGAGGAGTGTGCACTCTTACTGAAAGTCTAGTCAAATCATGCCAAATGCTACGTCACAACGGCACCAGATGAGACTGCCGTCTGCCCTCCCTCCTTTTCCTCTCTCCCAGATCAGCCCAGGAAGGACGGGAGGGAGGTCCTGGCTGGGCCGCGGGCAGAGCCTGGCATCCAGCCCAGGGGGTGGGGCAGCAGCAGAACCTTCTTTGCCCATGAGAAGAAAACAAACCGCGTTTCCAATGGGAGCCACCAGGCTGATGGGGACGGATGTGACCGAGCACGCTCAGGAGGTCCCCAGGCTCCCCTTGGCCCAGTCCATCCCCACGAGGAGACACGGGCTTCGGACAGAAACCAAAACTGCAAATGAAGGCCAGCTTCCCGGTGCCATTAGGACCTACTTAACCGGGAAGGAGATGGACAGGGTCACCTGGGGTGGCCTGGGCGGGGGCTGTGGGCACACGCACACTTGGCGGGTTTCCCCCTGGGTTCTGTGTCTGTGACACTCAGAGTGACTCGGGGGATACAGCTGGAGGGCTCCTTCCCCAGGGAACGTGCCCAGAGGGGAGGGGAGCCCCGTGCGCAGGTGTGCACAGACCAGTCAAGTGGGGCCTAGGGGAAGCACAGCACCGTGTCACAGGGAGACCCGAGTGGCCTTCTTCCTGGGGGTCCCCTTCCCCTGCCTCCCTCCGTCCTGCATTTCCTCTGCCTCCGTCCCTCCCCTCCCCCAGCCCCACTCCCTCCGCCTGGAGGCTCTTCTGCCTCCCTTCATGATTGGGATCTTAAGAATCATGTTTAAAACCCCCACACCCTATTCCCCCTCACTGCACAAGGACAACAGCCACGGTCCCCACTAATAGATCCATAGCACGTGAGGGGCACGAGGAAAAGAAAAGACGTCCCCAGGCGCCTCTCAGCCAACCCTGGTGGTTAGGATATTTTTTTGTTCTATTTTTCGAAACTGGAGATGGGGCCCAGGACTGCTTTCCCCCACTGAGCTGCGCCTCCGGCCCTTTGATTTTGTGTTTTGAGACAGGGTCTCGCTAAGTTGCTGAGGCTGGCCTCAAACCCACCATCCTCCTGCCTCAGCCTCCTCAGCTGCTGGGATGACCGGCGTGTGCCACTGCGCCCAGCCCTGAGCTCCGTGTCTTGTTCCCATCTGGGAACCTAATAATGGCAGCCCCCCCCCCACTCTTCCCCGAAGAGCTACAAGTGGGGCACCCCTAGTCCTCAAATCCAGCTTCCAAAATGCTCCAAGATCTCAAACCTCTTGAGGACGGTCGCGACGTCCCGGGTGGAAAATTCCACACCACGAAGAAGCAACAGGTTTCATGCACAGAATCACTCAGAGGTGCATGACGCCAGTGCACACCAGGCCTGCCTGAGCTCCGCGTGCAGACCTGGCTCCCAGTTCCTCAGGGTCTCTCTGTCACTATTCCAAAATCTGACAAGGGACCCTTGACCACGGTGAAC